TGCCCAGGGGTTCACATGTGCTAAGTCCAATACCTTACGCCGATACCAGCTTGGGACCAGCAGTTGCCGACATCGCCCCTCCCCATCGGGTCCTTCCACCACTCTGTAGAGGCGGTCGTTCCATACCTCAAAATGGGGCCCCTGTGGGACCTGTGGTCTAGGGTCTTCCTCCTCCGTCGTCCCTTGGGCTTGTTCCCATGCCTGCCTGAGTGTGGGGTCTTTGCGCTGTTCCTGAAAGAAGTCTCCCCTTCCTGGTTTTCTAGGTCCAGGGGAGGTCCATTCACTACCTCCCCCTGGGCTCTGGCCTTGGGGACTCCCCCTGCTTGCTCCCCTTCAGCGTCCTGAGGCTCCTGCTGGCTCCATTCCAGCAGTAGTTGTCGGAACCCAGGCCAGTCCCTCCCCAAGATCGTGGGGTACACTAATTTGGGTACCAACGCCACCCTGCAGTAGCTTTCCCCCTGTTGGTTCCTTACCTGCACCTGGATCGTGGGGTAGGTTCGTACATCCCCATGGATGCACTGCATCTGTACTGGGGTTCCCAGTCCTCGGGTGTTAGGTACTAGCTCTGCCCATAGCAGTGTCTGGCTGCACCCTGAATCGAACAAGGCTGTTACTTCTACCCCACTGACCATGACTGTGGCCGTAGTTCGCCGGGGCCTCAGGGGATCTTCCTCTGGCCCCTCTGCTAATATCTCATCGTATGAGCAGTCCATAAATGGGCAGTCTCTCCTGAAATGGCCCTCCTGGCCAGGGAAGATGAGGATTTTGTGGTGCCCAGGGCAGCACAATTTCGCGGGGACCCCCCTTTGACACGGCGCATGCATGGGGCTTCTTGAAGCGCGGGGCTCAGGGCGGCCGCCCCACTCGCCCTGCCCTGCCCTATATCCGCCACTGCTCCTGGCAGACTCAAAGCAGACATTCCGGGGGGGAGTGGTTGCTTTCAAACTACGCTCCTCCCCCTCCACTTTCTTCTCTTCTCCTCCCCTGGGGCAGGGTACTACCCTGTGCCCAAGTCCGACCCTTCGGACTGGAAAATTCCGGGGAGGAGAACCCCCTCTCCATTCACTCCTACCCCGGGGCTGGGGGTTCCTCGGTTCCCTCTCTGGTCCACTCTGAGCTGCTTTTCCCCAAGTCTCCCTTTCTCCTGGGATCTCAGCTGCGAGGTAGTCTTCCATTAATGAAACTGCGTCCGTAAGCGCTTCGGGTCTATGCCGTCTCACCGACCTCTGCACTCCTGCTGGGAGGATCTGGATAAATTGTTCCAAAATTATTGCCTCGGTTACTTGAGCCCCTGTATGCTTATGTGGCTCGAGCCATCACCACCCTAAGTCCTGTAGCTTCTGGGCCACCCACCGCCTTAGGGCGAGCTCCCTGCAGAAAGCGTTCTGCCCAGAAGCATTGCCAGTATGTCTTCGGATTAATGCTGGTCTGGTCAAGGATAGCTTCCTTGACCATGTAATAATTAAGGGTCTCTCTATCTGAGAGACCCCAATATACCGCTTGGGCGGGGCCCATTAAATACGGTGCTAACAGGGTGGCCCAGTGCTCATCTGGCCACCTGTTCGAAGGTAATTAAAAATGCTTCTGGATCATCCCCAGGTCCCATTTTCTCCAGGCACTGGCAATTGGGCCAAGTCTGCCTCTTCTCCCAGACTACTTGCGACCTCAGTGGCTCCCAAATTATCTCTCGCAGCCCATTTTTAGAACCATCGGTCCTGCTGAGACTGGTGCTGCTCCGTTAGTTCCCTGACCAACTGCCTTTGCTGCTCTTGCTGTTGCGTGGCTAGCTGTTGCAGCATTTGTGTCTGCTGCTAGTGTGCTGTTCTCCCAGCCAGTCTAACAATTGTGCTGCCTCCATCTTTCCTATGCTACCCTTCTTACTCCTCTTATTACGTGTTCTCCCCTCTACCGGGGTGTGGATTTACAGTACCCACATTCTCCACCATCTGTCACATGGGTATGTGGGGTATGTAGGATCGGGGGGCCCTCATTGGTGGCTCAGAGGCCCCAATCCCAGGTTTACTCTAGGCCCGCAAGTCTCCGGGGAGAGAATTACTCGTGCACAAAGGCTGCACCGCCCGCATGGTAGCCTTCCCCCCGTCGAGCCATACGTCCCTTTTCTACAACTCCCACTAATGGGCTGTAGTCTGTGCCCTTCTCCCGTCGCTTGCCAGAGTTCCATGGTAAGGGAAGGGACCAGAAAAGGTCCGCCTCAAATTCTCATCTTCCCAGCCTTACCCAGTCAGTTTAGGCTGGGTAAGGGAACCTGGGCCCACCCCTACTTCCGGGTTCCAGCCCCAGGACCCTTAGGTGAGGCCGCAGGGACCTTAGCTGAATGGTGAGCCATGCATTGGTCACTCACCACCCCTCTCGGGGGCTAGTGCCATCCTTCTCGACACCCCCGTTCCGGGGCCAATTCTACTGGCTTAGACGCTCCTCCATCGGCTATTTCCTCTGGATGAGAGAGGTACCTGCATCTGCGGTCGCTGGCTCCGTTCTGGCATTTACTTCCTTGTCCCGGCAGCCTTGGCGCCTTGCGACCCGCCTCCGGGGCTCTCCGTCCCCCCATCAGCTTCTCTACTGACCCTGGCATCTCCGATGATTCCCGCGCTCCTATCGGCCCTGCAGTGTCCAGTGGCTCCTGCATGCCTGCCGGTCTCGGCGTCTCTGGCCGCTTCCCCGTTCCTGCCGGCATCTCTCGCCTCCCTGCTGGCCTCGGCGTCCCTGGCGACTTCCGTACCAATCAGCTGAGCCGGTGCCACTTTTAAATGCGGCGTGTGGCTGTGGGCGCATGTGCAACAGCACCGGAGGCGGGGCCACGTTGGTTTGATCCTGGGCCAGGATCCTCCCACTCACCCAGTCCGGGAAGGAGTGACGGGCTTGGCCCGTCACACCTTCCCTTGTTAAACCAGTAACATCCAGGAACACTGAGTGTCCCCCTCTGCAGGCTGCCCCTTTGAACCTTCACCAATCCCCCACTTTGTCACACTATCCCCACATCCCATCTATCTATCTGCTGTAGAAGCACCAAGCTGCGGACCCTAAGGTTATGAATGGGCTTGTCAGTAACACACAGTTGGTTTGGAGCCAGAGATGCCTAGTTAGGCACCAGCCTGGACAAATGGAGCTCAGTGCTGTGTGAAATTCAAACTCCTAGAAAGCAAAGAAGAGGTGGAAAAGGGGATTTGGAGAGGTCAGGAGCCTGTTTCAGGGCATGGATGTGTAATGCAGATGATTACCCCAGGACACTTTGGAAGCTGGGCTCAGTCAATGTTGGGGTGTAAATGTTTGAAAGGACCCAAGGGTTATGTTCTGAGTTAGGCAGATTTCAGAGTTACTCCAACCTCTCTTCCCTGGGGGCAGGAGTGGGGGGAGGGGCATCACTTATAGCTTCTCTACTGTCCCATCTCCCCCCACATATGCCCACAGGTGGATTAAATGTCTGTGGGGCTCTGGGTGAGAGCAAATTGGGCCCCACCCAACCCTTTGAGTCTTCAGTACTCCCTGCCCTGCCATCACTCCTGCGGGGGCCATGGGGTGGAAGCGTAAGGCTCACCTGCCTTGCACCTTCCTGCCCTGCCGACCCTGCTGGCAGTGAGTGGGGTGGGCACTAGGGGTGGCTGGCAGCCCCGGAGCCCCACAACATGGGGGTGCTCAGCTTGGCAGGTTTACCAGGTGGTTTCAACAAAAATACTGGACTACATCACAATCTACATGACATCTCATTTAGAAAATACCAGACAGTTCTATTTTCTCAATTTGTTTCCCAGACAGAAAGCTCAAATACTGGACTGTCTGGTTCAAAACTGGACACCTGGTAATCCTAAGCCTGGGCCCCCATTTTTCAGTCCCCTCAAATCCCTGCAGGCTGATTGGACATTCAAGTGTCTCAGCCTAGGTGGGGCCCAGTCATGGGTTGGGGGTGAAAGTAGGGCTGGGGGAGGCAAGCCCACAACCCAACCCCTTCTACCCAGGCCCTGCTCCCATCACGAGGAGGTGGGGTGGCACACATGGTGAGCCCCTCTGGCCTCAGAGCACAGGGAGGGTGGAGGACACGCAACCCAGCCTGGCTGGGCGGCATGATATCTGAGCCTCCCTGGCTCTGGCGCTTCAGGACAGCAACACTCCACCCCCAGAATGCCGGCAGTAGGCATTCTGGGGGTGTGGTCTGGCTGGGGCCAGCCTGGTGGTTTGGAAGGCTGTGTCTTCCCCTGCCTAGCATACCTGCAGCCCACAGGCCCAGACAATGCTGGGGTGGAGGAATAAGACAATTGGTAATTTAGGGAGTGGAAGGGCATAAGGGGGTCCCCCAAAATGTTCTTTCTTAGGGTCCCAGTGGGCTAGAACCCCTTGGCCTGGGTGTGTGGAGAGACAGGAAGTAGGGCTGGCTCCATCTACCAGATAGGGGGATGGAGAGACAGAGGGGAACATGAGATAGCTGGCTGGGAAAAGGCAGATAGAGGGGGGTTTATGGAAGGATGGGGTCATGAAGAAATGGTGAGGGGGTGAACGGACAGAGGGAGAGAGGAATATGGTGTGACTGGATCAGGGATGTGAGGAGAGATGGGGTGGGTCTGAGGGTGGCTGGAAACAGAAAAATAGAGCAGGGGTGTATGGAGGCAGGGTGCAGAGAAGGGAGAAGTAACAGATACAGAACAAGCAGCAATGGGCTGCTCAAGTTGACGTGGGGGAGGTCTAGGTTGGATATTAGGAACAACTCTTTC